ATCAAACGGGTTGAGCTCACTAAAAGTTTTAGCCAATGTTTGCATGTGCATTTTAGTACATGTTATGATATTTGTATGTGTATGTGTTTTTTTTTTCAAAATGAATTTCCTAACATGCTTCAAAGTTGGGAATAATGCCAGTAATGTTAAAAACGATCTTCAGAAATGGGTTTACTTTCTTTGTCTGTATCAAACTCGAATACTATCAAAATTAAATTGGGCAGATAAAAATTCTCTTCTTTGGGGAAGAGGAAAAAAAAATCATTGCTTTGATTGATCTATGTTAAATTATATAACACAATACTGAAATTGTTTGTTTACCATCCATTTGAATTGGTACTGGGTACAGGCATACTACCAGAGCTTTTCAATGCATCTACATACTTTGGCATTAAATACGTTTGTTTTTTCTTTTCAGAGAAACTTTCCCAGTTTGGGTTGTATTGCTTTCTAATTCTGAAAAACTCTGAATGGCGCAATTTGGAAATTACCATCATAGTATATTGATCTCTTTGTCCAAACAAATAATGTGCAAATATTAGTTTAATTGGCAACATACACGAGTAACACATTTACAACAATTGTATTAGAGAATGGTTTTTTTTTTTTTTGAAAAAACAAGAAAAAGAAAAATTATGTTCCCTCTTTTGTTACCTTCAAATAACATTCGATGAAATAATTAGCACTAGGTTAGAAATGGAGTCAACTTTGAGCTCCGAACACTCGAGCTCAGACTCGAGCCCTTATCGAATCAAGCTAAGCTCGACCTGTTACGCTCATTAACAAGACGAACACGAATCTTAACGAACCTAATTACGTTAAAACTTCACGAAAACACATAAAACTCCTATTTATCAAGTTGGCTCGTCTCGCTTAGTTAACGAGCAATAATCGAGCTCACGCTCGGTTTGCTTATCAAACAATCTGAACTGAGCAGAGCACACGAGCAACTCCTTTTGTGCAAGAGCTCTAGATATGGTTATGAAAATCCCATCATTCATTTTTCTGTTGAAGTTGAACTTTTCTAATAGAGGACTTATTCCTTTTTTGCAAGTTTAATCTTTTCTAAAAGAAAGAAGAAAAATGAGCTCGCACCTAAACAATAAAAAGCATATACATTGATATATAAGAATAAGAGCTAACATAACTTCTGCAAGTAGAATCTCTAAGGCTGATAAAAAGTTCACTAGCAAAACTTCTGACAAAGCTTTCAGAGATAAATACATCAGCAAAGCATATATAATTTTTTTTTTAATAAAGGAAAAGGTAGCATAAATACCCCAGACGAGAAAGAACAGTACAAGGCAAAACTTGGAGAATATAAGTCAAATGTCGCTCGATTAAGCTCACCCTTGAAGATTCTGAGTGTCGAGCTTAAATACGGAAAACAACTAAAGGCACAACAGCTCGGCCCATCTGTTTAACGATTCATACATACAGTTAAGTAGAACCAGAAGTCACCGCATACCTGCCAACTTTTTATTTGTCCGAGCCGACAATGACATCATCCTCTATAAGAGATACAAATGAAAGAACAAGAAAAAACGAGTACAAACACAAATTTGGAAAATTTTCTTCTGAAAACACAAAACTAACAGAATTTTGAGAAGCTAATTTAGTTGAAACCGAAATCCCACATTTATCGCAGCAAATCTCACACCAAATTCCGAACAACAATGGATATACCGATAAATATTACGAAAAAATAGCTGTAAAGGTAACAAATGTAATCAACTAAGGACATAGATATAGCAGCCAAAAGCACATACCTTTCGCCTTTTTCTTCAGCCAGATCTCAGTCAGCATGCCAGCTCCAATTCCTGCAGCTATCCATGATCCATAGAACAAAATCGCAGACGGCAAGGACCTTTTTGGAAGGAAATAATAATCCGGAATTTGCCGAATCTTTTTCGGAAGTCTTTTTTTCACAGCTGCTCCATTGCCAGAATCAGTGCTCACAGACTCTTCCATACTTCTCCAGTCCATAGATTTTGAGGGGTCTTTTGGTTCCGGGCCCATGATGTTAAATTTTGGTGCAGATCTAAGAATGCAGAAAAAATATCTAGTTTAAATTATAAGTATGAATGAAAGATCTTAAAATTTTTTATAGTTAACCATCAAAGCACTTGTTACAAAGCAGTTGGGAATTCGAAAGCACTCATTGCAAATATTCTAAAATGATATACCGAGGAAAGGAACTATGTTTTTCGAAAATCAGCAAGAATTACGATAACTCGTAACTAAAAAGACCTAACAATCACCCAACGGGCCTTGCACAGGACAAGAGTTCTCTTACAATTTAGGATCCAAGATAGAAACTTTGGCCTACAAATCGAATTAAGGAGTACAATGCAATCCCTGAAGAATCCATTGCTTGTACACCAGACACATACCAATTCATTAGTTTACTTATGTTTCAATCCATTCAAAATCATTCATAGCTATTTCTGTTTCATGTTCAATCATAACAGAAATCCCACATAGCCAAAGTATTCAACATTAACACTGTAAGCATAACTTGTAAATAAGCCCGAAGCCAAAAATGCCAACATAAACATGACTTCCAAGATGCCTATCAAGAATGAAAATAAGGCATAATTCAATAGGAATGGGATGATATCTATCAAAAACCATAATTTCATAGTCGTTCTTTACGAGTTTTCATAGCCTGATATCGCTCAATAATAACATCATTATTAATTTTCAAAAAGGTTTTTTTCATATCCATTTGGATTCAAAGTATCCCCTTTGGGACATTTTCACAAGCACTTTGTGGATGGAGCCTTTTTTGATAATATCTCTCCATATTTGATATACAAAAAATATTTCTATAAATTCACAATCAATTGAAATTCTCTACTTTGACGTATCTCACTTTAAAAAACTATAAGCACATTAAGAATTGAATTTGAAATTTTTACATAAAAAGAATAAATTTACCATTACCTAAAAAATAAAGAAAAATAACTTTTACCTCCACCAAAATAAATATAAACGGATTTTGTTACCTCGCAAGTCATCTTCTCGAATAATTGGCCAAAAATTGATAATTTTTTTTATTCTTTTCTCTTTCTCTTCTCTTCTTTTCCCCTCTTCTCTCTCTTTTTTTTCTTTTTTCTCTCTTTTCTCTTATGTTCTCTTTTGCGCCCAACCTCCTCCTATGTTAGTTAATCAATTCTATTTTTTTTTAGCTAATAAGAAAGCAAGGCTCTCTTTTTTGATTAAATATATGTGGGGTTAAATTTGTTGTTAAATTGAGACTTTTTTATATGGGCTCATTTTTTTTATGGACTCATAATTAAGACTTTTTTAATGGGATCAATGATCATAGTTTGGGATTATTATTGCATAAGGATAGTCAATATGGGCTGCCATGTATATTNTATGCCCACATTGGTCCATCTTTGCAACCTCCCCTGCATATGGAACTATCAATGAACTTGTTTATAAACATTTGTTATAAGTATACTTATAACGTGCTATTCAAACATTTAGCATGCCATCACTAGATACAGAAAATAAGAAACAAGGAAGAGAACACCACAATTTAAAGTTATTCATTTTTTCTCTCCACAAAACAATTACTTATTTTAAACATTTTAAAATAATACTCACCACCACTAAATTCGAAAGTGGGACTAAAGAACTTCAAAACGACAGTTGGGTTTAAACTATCGAAAAACTCTATAAACAACGTGAAAAGACTTGAATTGAGATACCATTATAACATCAAACTATCAAAAAACTTCACAAATTGGCATGTATTATTTTAAAAATAATATTTATTTCAAATCTAATTGGTATGTTGTCAGTCTAATAAAAATAAATAATTATTTATCTAAATTCTTAAATTACATATAAAGTTAAAAAAACTGTGAAGCACGACTGATACGATAATTTATGTATTAGGCATTTAATTAAGTAACAAAATTGAAAGCAACCAAACAAAACGTACAAAACAACCCAAAAAAACCCCGTTACGATGTCGTTTTCGTTCCACCAATCGTACAGACATCTTTGGCCGTTCGTCGTCGAGTCGTTTCCCACTCCACGTCCGCCACGTGACCCCGTATTTCCCACGCTCAGTCTCTCTATCTCAGCGTTTGTAGTGGCTCGATTTTATTTCATACAGAGGTAGGTTTTTACTTCTATTTAATGTATTCTGTTTAAAATTTTATTTGTTTGAATCTTGGGCCAAACATAACTTTTTCACTTTAGAAACTAGATGAAATCTTTGAAAATCAGCCTGGGAGTGCTTCCGAGCAAAGAGAGATTACCTTTTCGAGATGAAATGCAGTTAGTAGCCTGATATTATGCTGTGGACCTTATAATTGGTGGGGAAAGAGTTTGTAAAGATAAGACGGATGAATGTATGGTTGTGGGTTTGTGGACCTACTTTTTGTTTTTTTAATGGAGGACGGATGATACCATTCTTTTTGTTTTCTAATTAGAGGACAAATGATACTATTCTTAGTTATAATCTACTAAAACCATTTATAAAAAAAATAAACTTTACAAACTAATTTTAGTTACAATTGTCCAACTAATTAAACAATGTAACCATTTCAAATAAAGTTTATTTTTTTTTTATAACTGGTTTTAATAGATTATAACTAAGAATAAAATCGTCCTCTAATTAAAAAACAAAAAAAATGGTACAATCCGTCTTCTATTAAAAAAACAAAAGAAGGTCCACAACAACCACAACCATACATTCATCCGTCAAATCTTTACACACTATTTCCTCACCAACCACAAGGTCCACAACATAGTACCAGGCTATCAGCTGCATTTCATCTAGAAAAGGTAATCTCTATGCTTGGAGGCACGCCCAGCTAATTCCTAAAGATTTCATCTACTTTCTAAATTCTAAAGTGAAAAAAGTTATGTTTGACATAAGATTCAAACAAATAAAATTTTAAACTGAGTACATTAAATAGAAGTAAAAACTTACCTCTGGTGTGTGTAGAATATGCTGAGAATTTTCCACTCACTGAACAATGAATCAAAACGACTTCCACCACTTCCCGACATTACTGCAGCTGCTCGCCGGCAGCGGTGACGACAGACTCTGCGCCGGCCTCAGCTTCTGCACTCTGCTCTCCTATGGCTCCTCCTCCGATCCCGCGGCGGAGGCCCGAGATCCGCCGCTCAAGCCGCCGAAGGCCGGAGTGCCGTACGATTTCTTCCCCGACACGACGCCGCCCCCATATTCCAGCCAGCTGTCGAGCCTCCTGTCCCCCGAGCAGCCCCACAAGAAACCCCCAATTCAAAACCTTAGATCCGAAATGGTGTCGTACAAGAAGCCGCGGTGCCAGCGAGCGAGAGGACGCGGCGCCTGCAGAAGCTCCTGCCGTGGGACAAGAAGATGGACATGGCGACCGATTCTCGAGGAGCATAAGTACATCAGGTTCCTCCGGGCGCAGGTCCGCGCGCTCCGATCGATGCCCCCGAGAGCATCGCCAGATTCGTCGATTACGGCGCGGCGACGGCGGAGAGTGTCGCCGCCGTCAAGGATCTGGGGAGGTTGAACCAACAGCACTGGTGCTGAGCTCGCCGGTGGCTCAGGCGCAGCTGTACACCAAGGGCTGCGTGTACTCGTCGGAGCAAATGGTGTGGCTGAGGAAGAAGGCCGAGGGGGAGGCTCTGCACCGTGAAATGATGTTGGGTTTGGCTGGTCAGCACTCTAATTCCTTCCATTGATGAAAGCTTTTGGTTGATGGGAATTCCTTATGGTTCTCTTGTTTAGGCTATGAAGATGGTTCTTTGGGGATTTTTTGGTGGGTTTGTTTTCAGTGTCTTTGAGCAGTGGTACTGTTTTGTTAATGGAGGTTGTTGTGTGGCCGTCCCGACTCAACCACTCGACTCATTGGCAGCGGAAGATATCAAGTTATGGCACAAGTCGGGAACATGACGAACATTTTTCAAACAAAACACATAACCAGAATCAAACTTAAGGCACACATCACCAATACCAACACATCACAAAGTTTCTCATTTGCCATAGAAACAGAGCCATTTTTAACCTCTTTGTAGTTAAAAAACAAATTTCTAAAAGGAGACATGTGAAAAGTGCAACCGAAATCAACTAGCCATTCATCTTCACACAAATTAGAATGCATAGATTTCACATCAGCATGCATTTCGCGCATTTCAGTCACCACAAACACATCACCAAGATTATTACTACACGAGGCCACATTCGCTTGGTTCTTCTTCGATTTAGTGCACTCTTTAGCATAATGCCCTGTGTCACCACAATTGTAACACTTACGATTTTTGGGACGGGATTTAGAACGACTTTTTCTCTTACCCTTTTTCTTTTCAGCAGGTTGGTTATCATTATTATTAAAGGGCTTTTGATTTTGAAATCTATTTTGTTGCCTCCCTCAAACAAAATGAACCTCACCCGAATTTCTACTCCTTTTATGAGCTTTTAAATCTAACTCTTTACTTTTTAACCCATAGTTTCAAGTGTCACATTGTCCCTACCATACTTAATAGCAGATTTGACATCACTGTAAGAATCAAAAATAGCATTTAAAAGCACAATAGGAGTATAATCATCAATATGCTTATCACCGGTCAATTTAATGTCTTGAACAAGTTTAGTAAACACATCAAGATTCTCATCAATTTCTTTCGAAAGATCAAGTTTAAACCGGAAAAAACATTCAAGCAAAAACAATTTACTCGGCAACGAGGTTTCAGTGTACAATTCTTCCAATTTTTCCCACAAATCTTTAGCCGAATCTAGTTTACCAACTTTCCTAAGCACAGAGTCAGACAAATTCAAGATAATCGACGAATAAGCAAATTGATCCATTTCAGCAATTTTATCTTTAGGCTCATCGGGTGAAAACGAGCTTTCAACGGCTTTAAACACCCTCTGCTGAATTAAAATCCCTTTCATTTTTTGTTGCCAAATTGAAAAACAGATTTCCCGTCAAAAAGGCTGGAAATGAAGCCATTTACACAAAAAACACACGAGTTCAAATAAGAAAATAGCAGCAAAATTACAGCAATTAAAACACACAGTTTTCAGCCCAAAATCAGATTTTTCAACACGTAAAATTACACAGAAATCAACCGAACTTAATATTCAGCTCGATATTTTACAGGCAATTTTCAGCTTAATGCGCAGCAGCAAATTTACACACAGTCACAAGAACATAAATATATCACCAAGGAATATATAATGAGGCACCTAGACTCAAAAAAAAAATAACAGATATTCTACACTAAGCACAATTTCACATAAATTAACACAAAACAGCAAAAAAAAAGACGAAATTTAATGCTCAAAACAATGAAAATAGCCACAGGCTCAGAACAACAAGGATAAACACAGATAAACACATTAACACATTACATGCATATCTAACCTAGTGTTCTAGCAGCTAATTTCCCAAAAAGCAATCCCGACCAGGGGCTACAACTACGAAAGCTGTAAAAGGTGGGTTCAAGCCAATTTACCAGAGCGAGCCCTAGGTGTTAGGTGCTCGACTTACCAGCACGGTGACGGGACGGCTCTGATACCACCGTTGTGTGGCCGTCCCAACTCAATCGCTCGACTCATTGGCAGCGGAAGCTTCTCTTGAGCTCGACCGACCCGCTTGCAAGCTCTCTCTAATTTGCAGGGGTGCTGCTCGTGTGCAGTGGACTCCTGGTTCGCTGTCCGAGCTCCCGAGCTGATTCACGTACACTCTTTCGGCCCCGATTTTATCCCGTTTCAGCCTACAATCAAATACACGATTAAGTTCTAACGAACAACAATAATCGAATAGATAATACACTAAGTACAAATATGATAAAGGGAAATAAAGGAGAAGAAATGGTAAAACTCCCTACTGAAGGATAGGGACACGAAGTCGGCTCTCCCGGCTCAGATAGCCCTTGAGCCCGGCACCCTCGGTAAGTAGCGGCTCGGTGGTGGTCAACGAACGGCAGCCCCGGTTCCTCAGCCCGCACCCCGGGCTGCACCTCACCCGCAGCCCGCACCCGGTCCTCCGTCGCAATGCCCCTCCACTCGCACAGCGATTCGCCGGAGGTCCTACACAAGGACTTTGGCCGGCGGGTTGAGCAGGGCGACGGTGATGGCACCCGGGCTGCACAAAGACGACCTCTCGGTGGCACTCACACTCACACCCTCTGAAGGTCACGAAGAATGGGTTTAGAGAAGGAGATAGCTATCGGTTTTCTCACAGACACAGAGAGTAATGCACAGCGAGAGAAAAGAGGGGAGAGTATATCATCTGTTCTGTAGGCCGAGAGATAGAGATAGGTTTATATAGTGTGAGTGAGTGGCTGGGATTAAACCCCTTAATCCAACGTATGGATTAATTCGGGTAAGTGAGGGCCAGGCCCAGACACGATTTGGGCTGGGGCTTCCTTGGGCCTGAGATTTGGGCCAAATTTCCGATAGAGGTAGTTTTCATGCGAGTGATTCAAAGGAAGATGACGATGAGTTTACTTTCTCAGTTAAAAAGATAATTTTTTTTAGTCTCTTTCGAACTTTTTTTTCTCTCATTATTTTTTGTTCCTTCTTATCGTGGGGGATTTAATTATTAAATTAGTTAATAATTAATAGTACTTGTTTGGACTTTGTGGATTATGAGTTTGATGGAGGCCATAGAGACAAGTTGAACCGAGTTGGAGCAACTAAACGAGCTCGGCTCGTTTATCAAATTAATGAATCGATGTTAAGTCCTAATGAGCCTATACATACAAAAAAATGCCGGTAATGTTAAAAAAAAGGATCTTGAGAAATGGGTTTACTTTCTTTCTCGTTATCAAACTCGAATACTATCAAAATTAAATTGGGCAGATAAAAGTTATATTCTTTGGGGAAGAAGGGAAAAAAAAAATCATTGCTTTGATTGATCCATGTTATATTATTATATAACAAAATACTGAAATTGTTTATGCACCTTTCATGTAAATCGGTAATGGGTACAGGCATATACTACCATAGCTTTTCAATGCATGTACATACTTCGGCATTAATTACGTTTTTTTTCTTTTCAGAGAAACTTTCCCAATTCGGGTAGTGTTGCTTTCTGTGTTTTGAATTCTGAAAAATTGTGAACGGAGCAATTTGGAAATTACCAACATATCATATCATATTGATCTGTTTGTCCAAACAAATAATGTGCAAATGTTTGTTTAATTGCCAAAATGCACGAGTAACACATTAATAACAATCGTATTAGAGAATGATATTTTTTTATTTATTATGTCCCCTTTTCTGTTAACTTCAATTAACATTCGATGACATGATTAGTACATGGTTAGAACTGGAGTCCAACTTGGAGCTCCTAACACTCGAGCTCACGCTTGAGCTCTTATCGAGTCAAGTTGAGCTCGACCTGTATCCACTCATAAATTAACAAGACGAACACGAATCTTAACAAGTCGAATTATGTTAAAACTTCACGAAAACACATAAAACCCCTAGTTATCAAGCTGGCTCGACTAGCTTAGTTAACGGGCCATAATCTAGCTCACGCTTGGTTTGCTTATCAAACATTCTGAACTGGGCTGAGCACACGAGCAACTCCTTTTGTTTTAATTAAGTATAAGATCCATATGGTCATAGGCTAAGTAATTTTCTCATATATGGTTATGAAAAGCCAATCATTCATTTTTTCGGTTGAAGTTGAACTTTTTCTAATGGAGGACTTTTATTCCTTTTTTGCAAGTTTATTTTTTTCTAAACGGAAGAACATAATGAGCTCGCTGGCTCCTAAACAATAAAGAGCATATACATTGATATATAACAATAAGAGCTGGCATAACTTCTGCATGTAGAATCTCTAAAGTTGATAAAAAGTTCACTAGCAAAATTTTTGACAAAGCCTTTCAAAGACAAATGCATCAGCAAGTAAAATAAATAAAATAAATAAAAAGAGAGCATCAGCTAAGCATATATATTTTTTTTTTAATAAAGGAAAAGGTAAGTAGTAACATAAATAGTTAAATACCCCCGACGAGAAAGAACAGTACAAAGCAAAACTAGGAGAATATAAGTCACAAACAGCTCGGCCCATCTGTTTAACGATTCATGTACAGTGGAGTAGAATCGGAAATCACCGCACAACTGCCAACTTTTTATTTGTCCGAGCCAACAATGACATCATCCTCTATAAGAGAACACAAATGAAAGTATATAAATTACTCAGTACAATTTCAATGCTACACTGCAGATCGGATGCCACATTATAAAAGAAAAAAAACAAGAACATGAGTACAAACAGAATTTTAGAAATTTTTCTTCTGAAAACACAAAAGTAACAGAATTTTGAGAAGGTAATTTATTTGAAACTGAAATTCGACATTTATCTCAGCATATCTCATGCCAAATTCTAAACAACAATGGATATGCCGATAAATATTACGAATATAGCTGTAAAGGTAACTAATGTAATCAACTAAGGACATAGATAGAGCACAGCTAAAATCCATACCTTTGGCCTTTTTCTTCAACCAGATCTCAGTCAGCATGCCAGCTCCAATCCCTGCAGCTATCCATGATCCATAAAACAAAATTGCAGATGGCAAGGACCTTCGTGGAAGGAAATAATAATCCGGAATTTGCCGAATCTTTTTCGGGAGTCTTTTTTTCACAGCTGCTCCATTGCTAGAATCAGTGCTCACGGGCTCTTCCATACTTTTCCAGTCCATAGCTTTCGAGGGGTCTTTTGCTTCCGGGCCCATGATGTAAATTTTGGTTCCGATCTAAGAATGCAAAAAACGGTCTAGTTTAAATTATAAGAATGAATGGAAGATCTCAAAAAAATTTATAGTTAATCATCAAAGCACTTGTTACAAAGCAGTTGAGAAGATTGTAATAGCTTCCACAGCACTCATTGCAAAAATTCTAAAATGATATACCAAGGAAAGGAACTATATTTTTTCGAAAAATCAGCAATAGATAGGATAACTTGAAACTAAAAAGACCTAACAATCACTCAACGGCCTTGCACAGGACATGATTTTTCTTACAATTTAGGATCCAAGATAGAAACTTTGGCCTACAGACCGAATTAAGGAGTACAATGCAATCCCTGAAGACTCCATTGCTTGTACACTGGACACATACCAACTCATTAGTTTACTTATCTTCCACCCATTCAAAATCGTTCATAGCTATTTCTATTTCATGTTATCAACTTTAATCATAACAGAAATCCCAACTAGCCAAAGTATGCAACATTAAACACTGTAAACATAATGCGAACATAAACATGACTTTCAAGATGCCTATCAAGAATGAAAATAATGCATAATTCAATAGGAATGGGATGATATCTATCAAAAACCATAATTTCCCCTTTACGCTTAACTGCACTTTAATTTCGTCCATCTAAACACTTTGTGGAGCAATTAAACACAGTTCTCAGAATCAAATTGGCAGAAGCCCATGACAAAACTGAAGCTTGTGATTACATCATATATACCCAATGATTTTTTTTTCTTTTCCTAAACCAATCTAACTATATTATATGTAACAATTACTCATAAATCTGTATGCAGAGAGATGAACACAAAACGATAGAAAACGAACTAATTTAGCCTGAAATGAGAAACATGTTCCCAGATTACAATGCATTAGACAAATTTTGGAATTTTAAAAAATAAAAACTAGAATATTAAATCCGAAAAGGCATGGTGAAATTCGATCCTGTCCCACGGGTTTTCCCCCATTGATTTCACACACACACATGTGGGTGTGGGTGTGGGTGTGACTGTGCTTAAATCAACGGTGAAAAACCCCATGGGGCTGTGCCCCCATTGGCCAATTCTTGCTAACTCACGACACTTATGCCATGAATCGGGTAGTGTTTGCCCTTTTAATAAAAAAATAAAGAAATCAGCTTAGCAACCAAAGGTCTCACCTTTACTGGTTTGCCTCCACCTCGAACGATCGCCGGAAAGTCGATAGTGTGAGATGAAGGTCGCCGGAATATCGACAGTATGAAGGGGATACCGGAGTCGTGTGTTTCAATTGGGTTTTTAAACGAAAATGACAATAATGGTTTAGAGTATGTATAAGTACAACTCTACGTTTTTTTTTTGTTTTTGCCATATAACATATAATATATTTTTTTTTCTTCAAATATCAAATATTACATATAGTTTTAAATAAATTGGAACTCACAACAACTTATAATTGTAGTGTTTGTTTATGCTCATCTATTAGTATGATTTCAAACATTAAAAAATTATTAAGTTTATAATATCCGTTAGCACAATAGTATGCGACTTTATAAAATATAATGACTGTTTTTATTATTATAAAATATGATACTTATTGTAGTTCCTTTTAGCAATATAATAACATTCAATCCATTTTATATATTTTTTTTATTTAAAGTGACACTCAATTCTTAAAATAATTGTTGATGGAAAAAATTAGTGAGGAATGACTCCCATATGGAACTATCAATGAACGGGTTTATGAACATTTATTATAAGTATACTTATCTATACTTATAATAAAAGGGATCCTATTTATTACAAATAGTATCCAGAAAAGTCAACTGTAATAAATGCTATTACTACTTGTAGCATGTATTTTATTTAACTATTTTATATTGAAATTAATGCTATGCGATTCAATTAATGCTATTACTATTCCCATACAATTTATTTTTCTGCAAAAAAATCCCACAAAATCGGCTTTAATTATTTGTATATTTGATATTTCCTTCTTATCTTCTATTTGTTTTATCCCATAAAATCCATCCGTTTAGTCAACGAAATCCCATAAATTCGTTTTAAACTTTTTGTAGATTGAATCGAAATTTCCTTCTTATCTTTTTAGCAAAAATTTTATTATTTATGTATTGAAATTCTGTAATCCGATTTCAGATTGTATCATTAAAAATATATTATAGTTATATTATCAAACATAAAAAGATACTAAATCCATATTGTAAAAAAAATAATTCATATAATTTTATAATAATTCTACTACACTATTTAACAGTATTCCTTTTTATTATATAATAAAATAATAATTACATATTATATAGTGAACAACAATAAGTAAAATTGTTACTTTCTCTTATATCAAATGATAAATTTATATGCTAAAATTAAATTTTTATTACTATAAATGTTTTAGTGAGATAATATATTAATTATTTTACAAGCTAGCCCTACCATGCTCATATTTAATGTTCTGGCTAAAAAAAACAACGTTGATTAAAAGATGTAAAAAAAACTTATAATAACCCTATTGTTTTTTAGACTTAACGTTGATTAAAAGAGGTAGAAAATAGATAATAACCCTATTATTTTTTAGACTTAAACGGACAATGGTGTGAAAATAACTCATTTAATATCTCTGTCCCGACTTATAATAACCTTATTGTTTTTTAGACGTAACGTTGATTAAAAGAGGTAGAAAATAGATAATAACCCTATTATTTTTTAGACTTAAACGGAGAAGGATGTGAAAATAACTTATTTAATATCTCTGTCCCATACATCGCATGGGGTACATACTAGTATCACTGGATACAGAAAATAAGAAACAAGAAAGAGAACACCATTATCTAAAGTTAATCATTTTCTCTCAACTAAAAAAGTGTTACTTATTTCAAACATTTAAAATAATAGTCATAACCACAAAATTCGAAAGTAGGACTAAAGAACTTCAAAACGACAGTTGAGCTCAAACTATCGAAAAACTCCACAAAACAACTTGAAAAGACTTGAATAAAGATACAATTATAACTTGAAACTATCGAAAAACTTCACAAACAACTTGAAGAGACTTGAATTGAGATGCAATTATACCTTCCATCGGAAAAGGACATTACATAATAAAATAAACAAATAAAAAGCTCCCAAATCCAAAAAATATGTAAGAAGAGCATCATTCTTTGGGTTCAATCCCAAAAAATTATATGCCACATAACAAATAGACCTAGTTTACAAAAATATATTCTCCAATGCAAATAAAAGTAGGTTGGGTCCTACTGATGTGAGAGCACCCACAATGCATTGGGTCTAATTTTACATACGTGGCATATAAATGGACTTAAGTACTAAATGACATGGACAAAACCCAAGTAAAAAAATTCAAAAGTTATTCAATGCAAAAACTAAAATACTAGGTCTATCATACATGTCAACCAATAAAAATGCTCTAATATGTTTCATTTCTTAAAAGAATAATTAAACTACAAATAAATGATGAGTGTTTGGGTTTGTACTTGGGTCCAAAATAGACCCAAGTGTGGACTTGGTCTCATTTTTTTATTGCCACATAAGCTAGACCATGTCCACTTTTAATTGCATTGGGAGACTTTTTTTTATAGACTAGGTCTATTTCCTACATGGCATATGATTTTTTGTTAAGAGACCCAAAGCATTGTGGATGCTCTGACAACCAGAAAAAGAGATCCGGTCTCCCCTTAAGTCTATTTTAGACCCAAGTAGAGACCTAGTCTCTTTGCATTGGAATTAATTTTATTAATTTTACATAGTTTTATCCATGTCATCTAAGACTTGAGTTTATTTACTTGCCACATAGGCAAGACTAGACCCAATGCATTGAAGATGCTTAGAACATCCACAATGTTTTGGGTCTCTTTTTGCATATGTGGCAAATAAATAGACTTAAGTCTATAATAACATGGACAAACCCAAGCTAAAAAATTCAAAATCAATCCAATGCAAAAAAGAAAGTACTAGGTCTAGAATACCTAACAACCAATAAAAATATAATAATAGAAAATGATTGCTATTGTAAGGTTCACACTTGAGTCCAAAATAGATTCATGAGTGGACTTGGTCTCTTTTTTTTTATTGTCACATAAGCTAGACTAGGTCCACTTTTAGTTGCATTGTGAAACACTTTTTTAAGAGCATCTCCAATGCTATAAGTGTGAGAGACCATTATTTTTGACACATGTCAATTAGTGATTGTAATGTTAATCCACATTGGAATAATATTAAAAGACTGACATTTCAACGAAACTAGTATCTCCAATGCATCAATTTGATAAGAAGTTATTTGTATACTTGGACCAATTAAATAATTCATTGATACAAAAAAAAAATAAAAAAAAATAAAACAAATATAAAGTAAATTGATGAGTCATCATGTTTAACATGGTGTTAGATATTAGAAAGTGTGCTTAACATTGTCAACATTAAATGACATCCACCTCATTATGAAAGAGTTCATGACAAGATGCATTAGAGAAAAAAATAGAGACACACTTTCAAAAGTTGATGATATGGATGACTTTTTATAATATCAAAAGTTGCATTGAAGATGTTCTTATAGACTATGTCTATTTCCTACATGGCATGTGATTTTTTTAAAGACAAAGCATTGTGGGTGCTCTTATATAAATAACAAAAATAAAAAATAAGACACCAAATATAAAAGAAAAATAAAGTCATAATGGGCCAATTTATCGTACTGTCACATGCCCCACATATTGACATTTGTCACAGTTGTAACGCGGCCCAACCTGCTAATGATAATGTTGGCCCATTAAGGCTCCCTATGATCATCCAAACTCATTTAGGGCACAGTACCTTCATAACATTGCAAGGCATCGTTTCCACCCAATTCATTCTCCCCAGCGAAAGCGGTAAACTCACTCTCTGTCTCTTTCTCTCTCTCACACACACACACGCACGCACACAGTAACGCACACATAGACACACACGATCTCTCTCTCTCTCTCTTTCTATGCTGAAGGCGAAGGTCGGGAAGCGACGCCGGCGACAAGTCCTGTACCTCCGTCGAAGCATACGACCTCTCTCCCTCTGACGCCCGATTTCCGGCAAATCCGTATCCGTTCGCGGCAGACAAGGACGACTCTTTTTTGCTTATCTTATTTGTTATTTTACATGTTCTTAATGAATCTTCAAAATCTTCAGATGTGTTTGTAAAATCCAAAAATTCTGAAGGGTGAATGAGCATCTTTCAACACTTTTGGTTTCACTTTTTAAGTACATTTGTTTGTGGTAGGTCACGAAATAAATGGAGGTGCCTAATTATGATTTACCATTCTGTACAGGAAACCAGCACCATGACAAGTCTGCTCAAAAAATCCCTTCAATACGCAGGAGATGTATTGTTGTGAGTAATTCTTTTGCAAAACTGAAGTTTTTTTTTCCCATATATAGTATGGTAATCTTTGTGCAATCTTTGGTGTAGGAAATCTCCTCGTGCCACTGTCTTTATGGGTAAGTTAAGGTTATTAATGTTAAGTGTGTGTATGTGTGTATTTGCTCATTATATTAATCTATTCTTTAGAAAATTTGGTGATATACGTTGGTGTGCCTGGCGTTGCGACTGCCTACATTCCTTACATGTGAGTGATAACTTTTATTTCCCAGCCTCACCACCTTTAGTCCTTTTGTTCAACTTACTCTCCTACCTTAGGTACTCATTTCTTCGGTCTTTTCTTTTTTTTTTCATTGACTAATTTGCTCTATGTTTTTGGATTACATGTAAAACCGCAGCATGAATTGTCATTGGTATGTAATTTTATATCTACTCTCACGCAGTTATTTTGTTTTTTTATTCTTTGCAATACATTCTCATTACACACTAAGATTTTTAAGTAAGAGTTCTCCCACTGCAGGAAACAAGAAAAGCAAGAATGCCAAGTTTTGATGTGAGTATGCACCTTGTTGTTTCTTGTATAAAAAAAAACGTGAAATATTCAATTTATCTTTTGTTCTCTATTTCTATCCCATAGGTCGCAGTCAGTAGAATTTTTTCTTCTGAAATTATCTATCTTATTCCATCCAAATTCTTTCTTGATACCTTCCAAGGAAATAATTTCTTTGGATCCCAAATTGTCGATCAGTCAATGTGAGCTTATTTATGCAGTTATATATGTCAATTGTCATTGTGCCTTTAGTTTCCTTATCTTGTGAAACATTTTTATTTGATGTGTTGGTGGTATTGACACTTTTTTCAATAGCATTTCAAAGTTATCATGTCATTTGTTGTTATTGTTGTTATTGCAGCAACAATCGTATAAAAGAGTTGGATTGCTTGAGGAAGAAAAGGTTTGAGTTAATGATTTATTTCCTCTTGGACATTCTCTCTCTTAGTTAAGTTGAAGAGGATTTTGTTAGCTATTTTGTTTGGTGACTGATGTGATGTTTGTTGATAATCTATTGGCAGGGAGGAAGCGGAGCGTTCTATTGACAGGTATGAATATAGTTCCTAATTAAATCTTATACAACAATTATGTTAAAATACAAAGCTTAAAAGCCAACCATGACTACAATGGTTTTGTTTTTACAAAGGTCTTAGCAATCATGCCTTAGAATACATAAGATCAACTTTGTCACAAGTCTATTCTAATGTAGTTTTATTTTTTTATTCTTCTATGTATTGGTGTGTTGAGTCATTTCTATCATAGTAGAAAAGATGAATTATGTGGTTGTCATTATGTGTGTTCATCAGCCTTTTAGGTTAAACAAACCGATCGAAATTCAAAAAACAAAATGGTTGTTCATATTTTTTAGATAATCGAATAGTCCGAGGAATCAATAACGATTGAATTTTAACTGAATTGTACTTTTCGGTCGGTTGAATCGAACTTTTGCCTTTTGGTATCATTACAAGATTTAAAAATAACATTTACGCAGCACAACCAAAAATAAGAAAGCTCACACTATTAAAATATGTACCCAAGGTTAATTTCAATACATAAAATACAACCAAAATATCTGGATTATCTATTACAAATCTATCTATATATAAAAAGGTTGTTGGTGAAATCCTTTTTGGAAACTTTTGACCAAATAAATAATACATTTGACATTCTATTTATAGAAAGCTTGAAAATCATAATGGTGTAGGTTTTTTTTTTTTTAACAGAAAATCACAGTTTGAATTCAAAATTCATGTTGTAGAGATAATATTGGAACAATAATCTGTGGATTACTCAAGATGGAATATGTGGATAACTAACTACTAATCTAAATTTTTTTTGATAAATCTTCACCAAACACTTATTTGATAAATCTGTGGATAACTAAACTATTAATCTAAAAAGATTTTGAAATAGCTAAGCTTATGTATTAATATCGCAACCCAAGGAAAAAAAAACATAAGCGACCCCATTTATTTTTTTATACTAAAATAAAGGGATATTACCAATTATAATTTTTGTTTAATTTGATGGATAATATCAAATCATTCCGAATTTTAATAATGTACGCGAATATCATTTCAAGTATTTAGATAATATCATTCTAAAGCTCCAATCATCTAATATCGAGATATTTTTTTTCACCTATTAAATCAACACTCAATTTACCTATAAAAATAACATACACACTCTGAGTTGTTATTGTATCCCCACTCATCAAAAAATCAAGCAAAACATAAAGAACAAATAGATATTTTATATTGATAAGAAATCATGAGGACTCATCAAGCAAAACATCATGAAAGCTTTACGCAATCCAACTCTTTTAAAGGATAAATGTATCTTTTCGAACAAAAAGATATTAAAAAATGATATTTTTGTTATTATGAGGTATTATATTTTATGGGTATGAAAGTCGAACTTTATTCTCAAATTTTAGTATATTTCTATAATAACTTGCCATAAAATATTAATGATAATTTGAGAAAAGAATATGTATTCCTCTTGAAAATCATAAACATCTTTAAACAAACATTGGTTAATAAAATTCAAAAATTAAGCGACAACAACACTAAAAAATTGTGAGATAATATGTATATAAGGGAATTTATATGTAAGGAAATATATATATAAAGAAATTTATCGTATAGTTCAAATTTGGGTTTCAAATTTAAAAGTCAAATAAATAATTATTCATAACTTACGTGTCAATATTAACTTAGACATAAATGAAGTAGTCAATTAATTATAGTATAATAAATTACTCAACAACTTAATTTTTTTTATTTTGATAGTTTATACAAAATTAAATTCATTTTAATTAATGAACACTATAAGTTTTATAATTGTACTATTCACATAGATTTTTAAATATATGATAAAATTTTACGAAAAGAATTATTTTATGGAATCACATTGTAGTCCAATCGAATTTCTGAATAAATATTTTAAAATGACACTTATTTTGAAATAAATATAATGTAATTTATTATCAGTTATGTGCACCATACAAGTTGTATACTAATTAAATTGACATGTTTTATGTAATTTTGCGCGATATAACTTCATATAACATTTTCAATAAATTAATATAGGTAAATGTATTACATATTGATTCAATATTTTTAATTTATAAATATCATCTAATAATTATTTTTAATTTATAAATACTAATGAATATCTCTTACCCGTGCATCGCACGGGATTCGTACTAGTTAGAAAATAACTCAACTAGAACTAAAACCTAAAAAACCCTATTTCAATCCGTCTCAAAGACTTCAACAGCCACAACAACTAGCTAAAAAAAATACCTAAATACCATGGAAAAATGCAAAGATTTGTGAAACCACATACTAAAGTCTCCCATAAAACAAACACAAACAGCCCAAAAACATTTTAAAGCCTTACAATGAAACTACATTACAATTGATAAACCTTAAAATAACATTAGGTAGAACTCTAAAGGGGGCTATTTGATGTAAATATTATCCAATTTTATTACATCGAATAAAACTTTTCGTCAAAATTATGGATGGATGTCCCGGATATAGGTTTTCTGCAAATTATTTACTATTCATCCATGTTTACTTTTTTTTTCAATCCTATGAACATATTATAAAAATATAAATCAATCATTACTACATATTTTTCCATACAATTCGTTAGTCATCAACATATTTTAACTACCAATTATTTAGCTTTGTTATTTTATTATTTCTATAACCAATACATTTTATATCATATCCATTTACACACTCCAAAGTAATCTATTCTTCCACCCAATTTTGTTTAACCTCAAGCAGGAAAAGCCCCCCAAAGTAGCCTCGACATAAATACAATAATTCAAAGCAATCTATTTCGAATCCTTCAATTCAATGATCTCTTCTAAATTCCAATTGGTTACTTTCAAACTCTGATATTTGTAGAGAGGATTTCGAATTTGCTGTTTGGCTTACTTGTGGGCAGTGTAGTGTTGTTGCCGTGATGGTAAGATAAAGAGTGAATTTTAAATGAATGGCTTTGACTAACCATTTGAAATTCTTTGAAGTAATGAAATCTATCTGAGTGTAAATTTGAAATCATGCATTTTTTATTTTCATTCTAACATGGGGGATTTGAACTTGAAAATTTGAAATTCATGACTTCAAATTCCTCCACAAATCCCTCATTCTAAAAGGAGTCGAGTTATTTCTGTTTGAATCGAAGTTTAGACTGGATATTAGAGATTAGACCCCTAAATTTTCACTGTATCTGCCAGTTATTTCTGTTTGAATTGAAGTTTGAACACCCCTAGTTATAATGTCCTTGAGTAAAAATCTTGGATTGCCAAGTCCTGTGTTTTGTTATCATTATTATGTGAGTTTCGACACATGAGATGTTTTCTGTGCAACTCAGGTTTCTACTAGCAGAAGTCACGTGTGAAAATGCGAAGAGCAGCTAGTGGAGACTGCAAGTTAGATGTAATTATTCTAGTACTTGGCCGAACGTATGTTTTTGTGGACATGGGGTGCGAAAATGTGTTAAACTAGCACCTCTGCTTGTTTGGTCTTATGCAGTGGTATAAATATTTAGTCTGTCTTGTGTTTTCCACCTAAATCTTTGGATTCTTGTACTTCCTGGTCTTATGTTGGCCTTTCTTATTATCTTTAGTGACCTTTTTTTTCGGATATTATTGTTTGTAGTATTGTCTGGGTTAAATGGAAGTATGTCACAGTTGAATGACATACAAAATATTAGAATGATGTAGGAAATCTGCAAAAATGACGAGCAAAATAAATAACTAAATTGATCATTGATGGCAGCTGAATCTGACTCCTGGAGGTGTGGTGTGGAGTCTGTGGACTATATAGTCTGTTTACCTTTGAAATTGAGCATTTCTATTTCTGAACGTCGATTCAAAAAACCATGTTCAATTATGTAATAGAAAAACGTACACGTCAAGCATGAAAAAACAAAAAGATTCATTGCTAAATGTATTACGATGAACGACCCTATTGCTTATTTTTATATAGTTGATCACAAGTATTGTAATGAAATGCTGTTCAATTTGGTGGTGTTTAATTTAATATTTGATTTTTGAAGTGTGACGGGGAGTAAAATTTTTATGTAACAATACCAAATTAAAATACAAAAGTGGTTAATCAATTTTTTTCTCATGAAGCATCTCGTTTTCCTCAAAACTCCTTCACGCACACGTAGCCTAATATATATTTATGAGACTCGGAACTCTTTTATAATCTTATTGTCCCCGACTCCCAGCACTTCACTTCGATTTGGCTACTTGGACTATCTCCCACGTTATATATCCTTTCAATAGTTCGTGAATTGTTGTGCACGTACTTCCTCATCATTTCCTCCTGCTTGAAATCACTACCAACTTGTTCGACTACGAGCTGGGAATCCGAGCGCTGGAGGACTTTCTAAACTCCACAGAGAGTGCGAGTTGGATCCATTTGATTATTGCATCGTACTCGATGTCATTTTTCGAAGCTCAGAAGGTCAATTTAATAGCATATTCCAGATGGTCTCCTTTGGGTTCACTATCATTATCCCTGATCCCGCACCACTATGGATGAACTACCATCAACATGGACCTACCATTGTCTTACGTCCCGTCGGTTGTCAATTCTTGGATAAAATCTGTCATATCTTGAACTTTGATTGCTCTTTTTTGTTTGAACTTCAGATCTACTCTTCCAACTCGATCAATCACTTGGTCAGCTGACCTGAAGCTGTAAGTTGCCCCAACGTATCACCAATTCGTCCGCACTGCCACCTTGTGAGCCAAAAAAAATGTTCCTAGCTTTCGCACAAGGCGAACACGATATTCTCTATATCGCTATATATGGACTTAGCCCCCCTGCAACAACCAACTGGTAATGTAGATCGGTTTTTGCTGGCATTCTTCTTCCTTCAATAACACCGAGCTCACCGCCACACGACTTACGCCCTTGTCTGGAAAGAGGTAAATCTCTCTCTCTCTCTCTCTCACACACACACAGAGGATCACCACCGCCATCTGTTCTCCTTCGAACAACCGCACGCCTTTCCCTCGTTGATGTTTTATGTTCATCGGCCGGAAAAGGCGAAGGTTGGGGAAGCGAGTTAGCTGGTGGAAAGCCTTGTACGGCCGTCACATCACACGATCTGTCTTTCCAGGCCTATCTCCGGTAAATCCGTCTCCGAGGACCTCGTGTGACGTGGCAGACGCAAAATCGAAACCCAAAAATATACATTTTCTTTTTATGTTATAAAGTTTTGTTTGATCCCAAGTAACTTATTTCCCAAGAAACTTTGTTTGCTTGCATTTAAAATGCTTAGGCTTTTCTCCTCTTTTTATGTGTTTTAATGGATCATTAAATTTCAGATAGGCCAATAAAGTCTAATCCCATTCTGTTTTTTACATTTTACTGTATTTTCAGGTTTCTCTTGTCCATTATTGCTTGCAATGTCGCACATGATCAGGTTTATAATTGTTTTTGTTGGCAATGGTGCACACTTTTGTTGTTGTTGTTGTTGATATTTATTTATTTATTGTGCTGTGTTTCACAATTCAGGCGCGCGGCAAGTTCCCTGACACCTTCACGTCAGTTTTGGTCTAAAGTCAGGTAATACTTGTGCTATTCCATCTGGCTCTTTTTGTTTACTTTTTTTGGAATATTGTTTGAAGACTGATACGTCCTGCTTGTACTAATTAATATCTGTAACCTGATCATTTCTTTATGTATATAGTGCATTTCAAGAATCTGAAAATGGGATTGCCTTTTTAGGCAAGAATTTACTGAGTTTGGCCTTGGTGTTTGGTTTATCCGAGCAGTAAGTGTCTGCTTGCTATGCCTAAGTTTATCCTTTTGGCTATGTTTTTATAGAAGCTGTGAACTGACTCTCTCTCTCTCTCTCTCTCTCTCTGGTTGTGATACAACAGCATTGATGCTTGTAACATGTAAGTTTTTATAGTATATTGATCTCTTGTGAATAATTAGATGTAATTCCCCTTATTGATATTCTTTTTATCCTTTACAAACTCTCATTGCAGCAAAGGAAACAAACAACTGTCGGGGATCTATGATGAACTGCGCCTTGAATGGTTTGGCTTAAGAATCTTTACCTTTCTGCTGATATTGTTTCACTATTGAAAGCAAGTGCTATTGAGTATCACCAATCCTTTATTCAAAGCTCTAAACAAGGAAATATGTTAAGTTAAATGGGTGGAAATTATGTTATTTCGGTATCAAGGTATTATCAAGTTATTGTTTTTCTCTCAGTCTACATCATGCTGTTAAAAATCAGATGTTGATGATTGCATTCCATTTTGTACACAAAATGCATGATACCTTTTCGTTGCTCTACTCTGACTTTGTCTTATTTAATTTTTTTTCTGTTGGACAGAAAAAAAAAAAGTAGAATGCTTTAGTGACTTGTTTTTGGCTACGATTATTTACAGGGTGCGTTACTTCAGTGCCATGACCATGTTGGATGTATTAAGGTTTGTAGTATTGAATAATAGTCTAGTTTTTGTTTCTTTACTTTTGGTCTTTATTTTTGTGCTCGTATTTAGATCCTACCTTTGGCAAAATCCTTCCCATTTCGGATACATGAATTGTGTTGATGCTGCATGTGCTGGTTAATTTTTTATGGCAAAATTTTGGTTTTGGTAAGTTTTTGACAACCAAAAACTTTCATAATAGATACCAGTGTTTTAAAAATCGGCCTAGGCGGCGGTCCGCCGCCTCCGATTTGTTAAAATCGGCCATAAAAATCGGCCAGGCGGGCTAGGCGGGCCTAGGCGGAGCTAGGCGGCCTCGGCGGTCACGCGGTTTCAGTAGGCGGGCTTAGGCGGAGCTAGGCGGCCTCGGCGGTCACGGCGGCCTCAGCGGTCACGGGCTTAATTTATCTCTTAATGGGCCAAAGAAATCAAAGAGTTTACAAATTTACAATAAGCATCGTAAGTAGAAGCAGAAGAGAAGACAACAGAACAGTAAACCCTCGTGCGCCAAACTCTCGTTCATCGACCTCCAGTCTCCATTCGCTTGCGCCGACCGCCTATCTCCATCGAAGTTCGCCTCTCTCCGTCGATCGCCGATCTTTACGCCTTTACCATTACTCAGCAACCTCTCACTCAGGTACTATTTAGGCTTAAGTTTTGATTTTTGAAAACTGAAAAAGGGGTCTAACTTGGATGTCGGCTCGACAGCGAAACAAAAATATAGAAAAGAGGATAAATAAAGACTAAAGAATGGATGTATGTTTATGAATTTATGTTTATCACTTTATCAGTTTATTTTATTGTATAGTGTAGTTAAAATAATCAGATGACAGCTCACTAGTCATTATCACTCAATTTCACTTTTCATTTTTTTTTATAAAGTAACTAGGGTGATGGTGTGATGCTGCACAAAAAAATGAAAAATGAGATATTGTGATTTGTGAAAGTCCAAAAAATTGACCACAGCCTTATTTTTCATGTTTGACAGGCTTGTGTTATTATATTTTTTTTTTTGCGAATGTGGCTTGTGTTATTAATAATTTCAAATTGCAATAAGTACAATCTTGTGGTCATGTGGGTTGTTAATTGCTATATGTTTTCATTATAATATTATATTAATAATATTATTGGAATTTAGGTGTATGAATTTATTAATTATAAGTTGTAATTTCACTAGTGAAATTGTGAAAATAAATAAAAAATAATATATTTATTATAATTTCTAGGCCCCGACTAGGCGCTCTAGGCGCTAGGCGCTGGTCGAGCGCCTAGCGACTTTTAGAACACTGATAGATACCTCTCATTTCATTTTAACAATTTCACTAAAACTCAATCGAAAATAAAAAAAGTAGTGATTATCTATCTTGCCAACTTAGATGAGTGAGTTAGTTTCATCCAAATTTTTTTGTTTGTTTATTAGACGAGCCGAGTTATGAGTTATGTCTTTTTCTAGTATATTAAATGAAAACAAGGTCGAACATTAGGTACTCTGCTCGACTCCACTAGAAGAACACCTCTGCAGCACCATTATAGTTGCATCAGTTCGTAAGAGTACTTGAATTACAAGCTCGAGTTTGAACTTGTTTTGATCTCATACCAACCCGGCTTTAATATTTTTGGTTAAAAATAAAGCTCGAGCTACAAATTCAAGCTGAAATATTGAACTTTTAATACTCACAGCAAAGTGGTATTGTATTTTTGGTTAAAAATAAAGCTCGAGCTACAAATTCAAGCTGAAATATTAACTTTTAATACTCACAGCAAAGTGTTATTGTGCACTTAATTGAACAACAAATTTTTGATTATATATAATCACATTTCTAACAAACATTAAATGTGCTTATATATTTTTAAATTAATTATATCAAAAAATAATATAAATATACATTAAATATTTATCATTATATAAAAAAAATATTATTCTTATAAGTGTTATAAATAATAATGACATTATACGATGGATAAATTTTTGAATAAAATAATATTTGAGTATTATGATGAACCAAAATATGTAAACTTATTATTTTTTTCTGTATTAACAAATAATTATATATGTTGAAATATTATTTATATTAATATAAACGGGTCAACGGGCTAATATTATTAAAATCAAATTTTAAAAAATGTTATGAAATACGAAACCTTCGTGCATCGCACGAGATTCCCACTAATATGACGAAAAGGGAAGTAAAATGGCAAAGGAGGCCCGGCCGCCCGGTTGCAAGTGTTTTCATAAACGGGTTGGTCTGGACCCGGTCTTCCATTCAAGTCGTGGGCAGATTTTGGAAATTTGGATAGCAATCAATTGCAAACTAAATAAGTAATATGAAAACTAAATATATAATAACTAATATAAAATGCTATTAGATAAAACGTGTTATCACGTTATTAAATAATTTTCGAAATACGGTGTCCGTAATCTTATTGGCACTCCTCATCTTAGTACAACACTTGTGCACGCTTGAAAAATAAATATTTGATTTTATTTTTTATTGTAAAATTATAAAGATATATACAATAAAAAAAATAAATAACTAAAACAGCAAGAATTAGTTAAAGTGACCTGTATTTTAAATGCTTTTGCAATAATAATAATTATTATTTAAATCACATTTGTAAAACTTGTTTAAAATAAACATTATGTACTGGCATCCGTAATTATCACGTCGCGTGACGCGGCAGACGCAAAACCAAAGATATACATTTTATTTTTATGTTGTAATGTGTTGTTTGATCTCGAATAACTTATTTTCCAAGAAAGTTTGTTGCCTGCGTTTAAAAAACATAGGGTTATTTTTTTTTCCTCTTCTGTTTTGATGTGTTTTAATTTTATGGATCATTAAATTTCAGACAGGCCAATAAATATCTTCGCTTCGCTCTCCCCTGCTTCTCTTCTTTGGTTCTTTTCGGTTCCCGAAGGAGTTTAATCCCATACGGTTTTATCATCTTACTATTTTCAGGTTTCTCTTTGCCATTATTGCTTGCTATGTCGCATATGATCAGGTATATATATATATGTATATGTATATGTATTTTGTTGTTGTTGTTGTTGTTGTTGTTGAATCCTTATTTATTGTGTTGTGTTTCACAATTCAGGCGCGCGGCAAGTTCCCTGACACATTCACGTCAGTTTTGGTCCATGAGGTGTGATACTCTTGTTATTCCCACCGATTGATGTGCCTTTCTTTTTGGTGTAATATTGTTTGGAGACTGATATGTTTTCTCTGTACTAAATTTTATCCATAAACTGATCATTTCTTTACGTATATAGTGCATTTCAAGAAACTGAAAATGGGAATACCAATTCAATTTTAGTCAAGAATTTAGTGAGGTTGGCCGTGATCTTCGGTGTATCCGAGTAGTAAGTATCTTCTTGCTATGCCTAAGTTTATCCTTTTGGCTGTGTTCTTATGCAAACTGTGAGCTGACTCTCTCTCTCTCTCTCTCTCTCTCTCTCTCTCTCTCTGTCGCTCTCTGTTTGTGATACAACAGCATTGATGCTCATAACATGTAAGTTTTTATATTATATTGATCTCTTGTGAATAATTAGATGTAATTCCCCTTATTAGTATCCTTTGTTATATCCTTTACAAACTCTCGTTGCAGCAAAGGAGAAAGACAACTGGTGGGGATCTATGATGAACTGCGCAAGGAAAGGTTTGGCTTAAGAATCTTCACTTTTTTCTGCTGATATTGTTTTCCCTGAACGGAATATCTATTACGTACTGAACGTCACTATTAAAAGCAAGTGCTATTCAAAGATATAAACACGAAAGGTGTTAATTTAAATGGGTGGAAATTAAGTTATTTAGGTATAAAGTAGTTATTGTTTTTCTCTCACGCTATGCTACATCATGTTGTTAAAAATCAAATGTTGATGATTGCATTCCATTTTGTACTCAAAATGCATGATACCTTTTGATTGCCCTATTCTGACTTTATTTTATTTAATCTTGTTCTTNAAAAAAAAAAAAAAAAAGTAGAATGTTTTAATGACTTGTTTTTGTCTACGATTATTACAGGGAGCGTTACTACAGTGCCCTGATCACGTTGAAAAAATTAAGGTTTGTAGTATTGAATAATAGTCTAGTTTTTGTTTCTTTACTTTTGGTCTTTATTTTTTGTGTTAAACAAACCCTCGTATTTAGAATACATGAACTGTGTTGATGCTGCATGTGTTGGTTAATTTTTTTATGTAAAAAATGTGGATTCGGAAACTAAGTTTTTGACATAACATATTTTATATGCAACTCAGGTCAGAAGCACAGAAGGCAAAGCGTGGGGAAAGGAGACTGTAGCAATTTGGGTTTGTGCAGTTTTTGGCAGTTTTGGTGTAAAAAACCTAAACTATGACTTGTTACTTTGGGTTTAAAACTAAACTATGCATAGTTTATCAGTTTGCATATATTGAAGTGGTGGCTTTAATATTGACTGAGGTAGTTTTCTCTCAATTGAGGCGATTATCTATTTTGAATATTAGACGATTCACTTATATCTCGCCAACTTAGAAGAGTTGAGCTTTTCATCCGGACATATATAGTATCTCCCAGCTCGGGATTTCTCAGCAAAGGGAGCTCAACCAAAAACTCTTTTTAGCTGGTCGTATTCATGCAAAACGTTTCAAAAGCATGCTTGTTTATGAAATAATTTGGGATCACCACCGCCGTCTGTCCCCCGTTGAGGTTTTATGTTCATTGGTCGGGAAAGCCTTGTGCGTCACACGATCTCAGTCTCTCCAAGCCGATCCCCGGTAACATTCGATGAAATAATCAGCACTTGGTTAGAAATGGAGTCAACTTTGAGCTCCTAACACTCAAGCACTTGTCGAATCAAGCTAAGCTCGACTCGTTACCACTCATTAACAAGACGAACACGAATCTTAACCAACCTAATTATGTTCAAACGTCACGAAAACACAAAACCCGTGAAAACTCAACCTTAACCAACCCTATTTATCGGCTCGCTTAGTTAACGAGCCATAATCAAACTCATCTAGACATGGTTAAGAAAAGCACATCATTCATTTTTCGGTTGACATTTATTCCTTTTTTTGCAAGTTTAATCTTTTCGCACCTAAACAATAAAAAGCATATACATTGATATATAATAAGAATAAGAGCTAACATAACTTCTGCAAGTAGAATCTCTAAGGCTGATAAAAAGTTCACTAGCAAAACTTTTGACAAAGCTTTCAGAGATAAATACCTCAGCAAAGCATATATAATATTTTTTAATAAAGGAAAAGGTAGCATAAATACCCCAGACGAGAAAGAACAGTACAAGGCAAAACTCGGAGAATATAAGTCAAATGTCACTCGATTAAGCTCACCCTTGAAGATTCTGAGTGTCGAGCTTAAATACGGAAAACAACTAAAGGCACAAACCCATCTGTTTAACGATACATACATACAGTTAAGTAGAACAGGAAGTCACCGCATACCTGCCAACTTTTTATTTGTCCGAGCCCACAATGACATCATCCTCTATAAGAGATACAAATGAAAGAAGAAAAAAAAAATGAGTACAAACACAAATTTGGAAAATTTTCTTCTGAAAACACAAAACTAACAGAATTTTGAGAAGGTAATTTAGTTGAAACCGAAATCCCACATTTATCGCAGCATATCTCACACCAAATTCCGAACACCAATGGATATGCCGATAAATATTACGAAAAAATAGCTGTAAAGGTAATAAATGTAATCAACTAAGGACATAGATATAGCAGCCAAAAGCACATACCTTTCGCCTTTTTCTTCAGCCAGATCTCAGTCAGCATGCCAGCTCCAATCCCTGCAGCTATCCATGATTCATAGAACAGAATCGCATATGGCAAGGACCTTCTTGGAAGGAAATAATAATCCGGAATTTGCCGAATCTTTTTCGGAAGTCTTTTTTCCACAGCTGCTCCATTGCCAGAATCAGTGCTCACAGACTCTTCCATACTTCTCCAGTCCATAGCTTTTGATGGGTCTTTTGGTTCCGGGCCCATGATGGTAAATTTTGGTGCAGATCTAAGAATGCAGAAAAAAAAAAATCTAGTTTAAATTATAAGTATGAATGAAAGATCTTAAAATTTTTTATAGTTAATCATCAAAGCACTTGTTACAAAGCAGTTGGGAAGATTGTAATAGCTTCGAGAGCACTCATTGCAAAAATTCTAAAATGATATAACGAGTAAAGGAACTATATTTTTCAAAAATCAGCAAGAATTACGATAACTCGTAACTAAAAAGACCTAACAATCACTCAACAGGCCTTGCACAGGATAAGAGTTTTCTTACAATTTAGGATCCAAGATAGAAAGTTTGGCCTACAAATCGAATTAAGGAGTACAAAGCAATCCCTGAAGACTCCATTGCTTGTACACCGGACACATACCAATTCATTAGTTTACTTATGTTTCAATCCATTCAAAATCATTCATAGCTATTTCTGTTACATGTTATGAACTTTAATCATAACAGAAATCCCACATAGCCAAAGTATTCAACATTAACACTGTAAGCATAACTTGTAAATAAGCCCGAAGCCAAAAATGCCAACATAAACATGACGTCCAAGATGCCTATCAAGAATGAAAATCATGCATAATTCAATAGGAATGGTATGATACCCAAAAAAATCATAATTTCCCCATTATGCTTAATGGCACTTTGATTTAGTCCATCTAAACACTTTGGGAGCAATGAATTACAGTTCTCAGAAGCAAATTGGCAGAAGCCCATGACAAAACTGAAGCTTGTGATTACATCATATATACCCAATGATTTTTTTTCTTTTCCTAAACCAATCTAACTATATTATATGTAAGAATTACTCATAAATCTGTATGCAGAGAGATGAACACAAAACAATAGAAAACGAGCTAATTTACCCTGAAACGAAAAACCTGTTCCCAGATTACAATGCATTATACAAATTTTGGAATTTTCAAAAATAAAAACTAGAATAATTAATCCGAAAAGGCATGGTGAAATTCGATCCTGTCCCACGGGTTTTTCCCCATTGATTTCATACACACACACACCCATGTGGGTGTGGGTGTGCTTAAATCAACGGTGAAAAACCCCATGGGGCTGTACCCCATTGACCAACTCTTGCTAACTCACGACAATTGCTCTCAAGGTACTATGAACCCAACAGAAAAGACGAAAATGAAATCATTATGCCATGAATCGGGTAGTGTTTGCCCTTTTAAGAGAAAAACAAAGAATTCAGCGTAGCAACCAAAGGTCTCACCTTTACTGGTTTGCCTCCACCTCGAATGATCGCCGGAAAGTCGATAGTGTGAAATGAAGGTCGCCGGAAAGTCATAATGTGAAGGGTATAGATACAGACAGTCGTGTGTTTCAACTTTCTATTGGGTTTTTATTTTTTAAACGAAAATGACAAAAATGGTTTGAGTAAGTACAACACTACATTTAATTTTGAATGTTTTTATTTTTTTATTTTTTCAAATATCATATATTACATATGGTTTGAAATAAATTGGAACTCGGACATAACAACTTCTAATTGTAGTGTTTGTTTATGCTCATCTATTAGTATGATTTCAAACCAATTTATATTATTAACCACAATAAAAAAAATATTTTTTCTTTTTCTTATATAGTATCCTGAAGTCTATAATATCCGTTAGCACAATTTTATGCGACTTTATAAAATATAATGAATGTTTTTATTATTTTAAACTATGATACTTATTATAGTTCCTTTTAGCAATATAATAACATTCAATCCATTTTTTATTTTTTTTCATTTAAAGTGACACTCAATTATTAAAATAATTGTTGATGGAAAAATTTATTAAGGAATGACTCCCATATGGACAGGGCGGATCTAGCAAAAATATTAAGGGGGACAAATTATTTAATGAAAAAATATAAAATATTATAACGGATAGTACAAATACAAAAACATATTTTCATAGTCGTTATTTACAAATTTTCATAGTCTGATATCGCTCGATAATAACATTATTACTAATTTTCAAAATGTTTTTTCATATCCATTTGGATTCAGAGTATCCCGTTTGGGACATTTTCACAAGCACAATTTTTTATAATATCTCTCCATATTTGATATATAAATTTTTTTTTATAAATTCACAATCAATTGAAATTCCCTACTTTAACATATCTCACTTTAGAAAACTATAAGCACATTAAAAATGCAATTTGAAATTTCTACATAAAAAGAATAAATTTACCATTACGTAAAAAATAAAGAAGAATAACTTTTACCTCCACCAAAATAAATATAAACAGATTTTGTTACCTCACAAGTCACCTTCTCGAATAATTGGCCAAAAATTGATGAACTTTTTTACTCTTTTCTCTCTTTCTCTTCTTTTCTCTTCTTTCCCCTCTTCTC